ACCGCTAGCCATGATAACCATGAGAAAATCAACTCATGGGTTTCCTTTTCTTCCCTATATGGGTATGGGGTTCTGCTTGGTGGCCCTTTGGGCCGCCGGAGCTCTGCTAAAAATACTGCAACGTTGCTTAACCTATAAATTCTACACACCTGGGTCAGTCTTTTGAATCCTTCTGTTCTGCCATTTTGGGAATTTATTTTGGGCATTTTGGGCATGCGCTCTTGCTTTGCCTGTCACATTCCTGACAGGTGCTCACATGGTGCAAATCGGATTTTGCCAGATCTCGCCTTCGGCTTCGTCCACAAGAGATCTGGGAACGAGATTATGGATTCATCATCTGGAACAAGATTAAACATGATAACATTCTCATCCTCTTCCTCTTGCAGATCATCTGAAATAAGAAGGTTGGCTGTTGCAGTTGATACTGGGATGTCTACAACTTCATGGCTACCAATGCCCTCATCATTCAAGAAACCAGTGGCCTCTTTTNAAACATTACTCTCTGATTCACCAGCCATTCCTAGCAATTTCTCCCCTCTTGTTGGTTACATGGTATTGGCGAGCAACCTCTGACCAGTTGATTTCTTGCCATCCTTTTTGCTTTCAACTTCTTTCTTTAGCGTTTCCTTGTCCCATGTCATTCTGTCGAAATTTCCAGAGTGAGTTTTCTTTTGCCTTTTCCCCAATCTTTCTTCCTCAATTTCACAATTCTCTCTTTTTCTTGCAGCCTCCACAGATTCAAAGGATGATGCAAGCCTTTCCTGTTGCCTTGCCGCAAACAACTGTCATTCTCCCAAACATCTGTGCAAATGACAAGAAAATATATTTTTGATGAATTTATAGTAGTATTTATTGAGTACTTTTTGCTGGAGGTTGGGTAGGTTCTCATTGGAATTACATGTACATCAATAGGTTAGGAATGTTCAGCTCAGAGTCCAAATTTAAACCTAATTTCCTTTTCAAACTAGAACAGAGGAAAATATGAATCATGTACGGTTTATTGTTATAAATTATGTGCTGTGCACAGTCTGAGACTGCATGCACCTTAATGCATATGCTAATTTCAGAGAACTTCCCCTCACCTCCTACCTTCAATGATGTTTATGTGGGACCCCTTTATAATATAAAATTTGTGTGAAGAGTGTATTAGTTATGAATCTCATTTAGTTTTGTGTTGTAGAGTTTCTTGCCTATTTACAAAACAATTGATTTGTGTACAGCCTAGTCAGTAATTTGACACATTTTCTGCAATAAATTTCAGAGCTCTAGGGATATATTCTCAAAAGGGCAAATTGTTTTATTTCCTGTTCGTAAAAGTTCTTGATTTTTTTCCCACAAGATCAATGGAGACTCTGTTTGCTGATTGCCCCTGCTGGGCACTTTTAAACCTTCTCCTTATGTTATTTCCTCCTCCCTCCCCTCCCCTGTACCCTCTCCATATAACCTCAGAGTTGTTACAGTATTGTGCAAAAGTAATGCACACGAATTTCAATGAAATTCCTGCTTTTCGGGGCTTTTTGAAGAAATTTCGCTTGAAACGATATTTCCATG